GCCACCTTGCCCTTAGTCCCAAAGCCAAACCTTTGACTAATACTTTTCCCTTGCAGAGTCTTGGCTCGACGATGGCGTTTGCCATCCTGCCCTTAGTCCCAAAGCCAAACCTTTGACTAAGACTCTTCCCTTGTAGAGTCTTGGCTCGACGACGGCGTTTGCAACCTTGCCCTTGGTCCCAAAGCCAAACCTTTGACTCATGCTCTTCCCTTACAGAGTCCAAGGCACGCGCTTGCGACGGGCGGACGGCCGGCGCTTCGCTCGCTCACTCTCGCTCGCGCCGCCCCTCCGCTAATAGTCGTCGCCGCGTCGCCGCTCCGCATCGTCGTGTCCAGGTGAGCCGACAACTTGGAGAGAAAGGTTGTTGGGCCAGGCCTGAGGGTTCAAAGAACCCTAAACCCTAAAAGGTCAAGGTTAGGGTGGAGCGCCAGCGGGGGTGGGATTTGTCCGCGGACGCGTGCGCGCGTGTGAATGGTGAGGGGGGGCGTGAAAGCAGGATGGATAGCCCCCCCGTGAACGCACGCGCGCGCTTGACCATGGACTAGACATTATTTAACGGAGCAAAAGCAAATTTTCAACATCAAAGTTTATAGGTTCGCGCATTTTACCCTCCCAACTTCCCACCGGTTGACTTTTTGTTAAGTGACACCCAGTCGCAAAAACTCAAAAATCCAAACCAAAACATGCTTTGTGTTCAAAACAGTGAGACTTGAGCCCCAAGCCAAGCCCAAAAGCGAACCAATTTCCCCCAAACCGAGCCGGTTTTTCACCAAAACGGGGCCACTTTGTCCCAAAGACGGAGCCTGTTCTTCCCAAAAATGGGGCATGCGCTCCCCAAAAAACGGAACATGTTTTGGCCAAAAACGAAGCATGTTTTTCCCAATAAACGTAACCTAAACGTAGATTTTTTCCTGAAAACGGAGCTTCCCAAAGTCGGTGGCTGGTTTCCCCAAAGTCGGTGACAGATTTCCCCAAAGTCGGTGACAGATTTTCCCAAAGTCGGTGGCGGATTTCCCCGAAGTCGGTGACAGATTTCCTCAAAATTGGTGGCAGATTTCCCCAAACTCGGGGACAGATTTCCTTAAAATCGGTGACAGATTTCCCCAAATCAGTGACGGATTTCCCTGAAATCGGTGCAAAGTCGGTAACTGGTTTTCCCACCGAACCAAGCATGTTTTCCATATGGATCTACAAACTCTTTATATTTCCGCCTGTGTCGTCCTTTCTCTTCAAGCCACTGCAAATGAAGGAATTTCTCCGAGGACAACTGCAAACTTTGGACATTAATGTTCATTGTTTTTCGGGCACACTTGCACAGGAAACCCTGGAAGTTGCTTCTCTTTAAACCTCATTCTAGTGGAGGAACTTAGTGTTCACACTATCAGTGGTACGTGCACAGAGATGTGTAAAGACGCTCACAGATTTTGCATGGTCAACCTTCACTGCAGCCTCGGAAAGACAGGTCAACTATTCAAAAACAGAAGGGACATTCGCATGATTTGTTGCCATTTGATGAACTTTTCAAAGTTGTTTGAATACTTCTGACTACACTTTATGAAATGTCCGGCTCACGCAAATGGCGTGGTGCGCTCGCATGTGTGCTTTGGGCAAGTGTGATTGTATGTTTTTTGACAACAGGGACAACAAGACATCCACTGCGTTCAGTGAAGCTACGTGGTCTACCTCTTCGTGTTGACGTGGGCGAAGGAAAGGGGTTTTGGGCAGCCGTGCAGAATGCGGCGAGTAGGAGCAAGACTGATTGCCAGACACATATGGAGAACATTGTTGCGCTTGCAGAAAGTCACATGAAATCCAGCAAAATTGTTGACAGAGATGCTGCGATACAGGCTTTGGTGGTGTCAATGCAAGAACCAGGATTGGTGTTGGTGTTGGGGGGCAAAAACTTGGGCAAAACATTTCTCAAAGGTGAGGCAATCAAGAGATGCAGAGAGAGCGAAAGGAACATCGACATCGTCTCAGCGGATATGCGGGATGCTGATATGCTTGGCAAACCTTTAATGACAGCACTCGACGTGCAACGCCAAAAATCTCTGAAGTGGGCAACGCGGGCAACGGAACTCTTGCGCGCAGTGATCGAGCATATTGTCACCATGTTTGCAGATAGGAGATATACAGGAGCCGGAAAAGCAGCAAAGGGTGTGCTGGATGTTGTAGTCCAAGCAAAACAAATAAACATTGAAAACTTTATTAACAAGACCACTAGGAGTGGTAGGATCCCCAGTCTCATTGTGGATGAGGCAAATTTGGCATTGCCCGGACTAGGTGAAGATGCGAACACGGCGGCCAAGTCAGCTCTACAAGCCGTCACAAAATGGACGAAGCAGACAAAGCAAGCAAGTGTCTTGCTGATATCTTCAGAGTTTGGGTATCCCTTCCGCCTGCAAGCTGCAGGGTTAGACTTCAGAGACATCCGCAAAGTCATTATCATAGGTGAAGTGCCACAGTCCGACATGAAGAAGATGCTGCAGGATGATTGGGGTATGGACGCAGACTTGGCAGAGATGTTCTACAACTACTTCGGCGGCGACATTTACACCACCAAGCAGGCCTTGGAGAGCCTCATTCGGAAGAAAGATACCTTCGACCCCTTTGCCGTTGTGCGATGTCCCGGGCTGCCTTCGTGTGTGGAAAATGCAGCGGCCAGGGCTCACCTGGAGAACATCGCCAAGCAAGGCTTCTCTTTGGTGAAGAATGTTGAGACTGACGAAGGTGCAAGAATGATTGCGGAGAAAAACGTGGGCGGGGTCATCGACAAGGATGCCATCACATTTGGTTTGCCACCCATCTTCACCGGCACAGACCGGAAATGGGCTGTCATCCCCTCGTCTTATCATATGAAGCTGCTGATTGCCCATGAGCTCCAGAATATTCCTTTGCCAACATCAGGACGGTGTTGCAGAAACAGGTTCTCTTTCGTGTTTGGTTCTGTTTTGCACACGCTGTTCGAAAGAGGAGGTGGATGGAGGTTGAATAAACTTGTTGAGATTTATATGTATATATATAATTATATATATATATATCTGGACAATCACGAAGTTGATAGATAAAAGTAATACAAGCATCCATACCTCCTCCCTGCAAGGTGGTACTGGTACTGCACCACCAGCTGTTTGGGTGAGACAAATCCGCAAGGACTGCAGAGAAGTGCATTCAATGACTGTGTAAACACATTTTGTTTCAGCAAAGTCGTTGCTCTGACCAAAGCAGTGCACTGATCACTTTCGGACAGTTCGGTTGAAGACTATTATCGCCGTTCGTTCAGGTTCATGCTCTTTTCCCGCAAAATAAAGCGTGATGAAGGGTAAGTCCACTGTGCAAGATAATACACTGTTATGCTACGAACTTGGCCGGGTTCAGGACTTTTGGGGAGAAGATTGCAGGGTCGTTCATTCCTCAGGATTTATGAAATATGTATTCTAATAATCTTCCTCATTTTGATAAAGATGATTTAGACTAAAGACTTTGTATGATTTTCTTCCACGCCCTTGTTCCTTTGCTGTGCCCTTTGGTAAGTAAATGCGAGTAGCACACGGTTGAAGGCACGGCACATTACGGGGTCGTACCAATCGGCGCGGCTTCAAAGCCGAGTGCGACAATGTTCATGCAGCCTCTCATCGCTACTTCCGAAACCAACTGGAGGGCATGAGTTGTTGTGTCCATTTGTGCGCCGCTCGCCCCTGCACACAACCAGATGATGACTGCCTTCACGTGATCGCCTCAGCAGTTGTACCTCGAACTGCCGAGTATGACTTGCAAGATGCTGCAGGCAAAGGCCCTTTAGCTCGTTGTGCAACAGCTGCATGGCTTTGTGGATATACCAGTGTCGGCCTATGCGGGAGCTGCTACCGGGGAGTCAAAAGAGCGGTGAAATGCCTGTGCTGCTTGGGATGTGGAGCGCGCAGACCAAGGACCCGAAATCGGGCCGCGCCTTCTAGCGGCCCGTCAACACCGAGACATGAGAACTCCGAAACAGAGTCCGAGATTGATGACGAGACGCAATGTCAAGCGGAGTCAGTTGCTTTTCTCGTTCAAGGAAAGGCCACCCCACTGTCGCTGACCCAAGAAGGCGATCATCGAACTGGTTACTGAGGATTGCCCTGCCAGGGGGCTCGAGTCCGAGGGTGAAGGCCCTGTCTTGAGCATTCGGACCCCAGCAAGCCAGAGCCCCTTCTCAGGAGAGTTGGCAGGAACCCCCCAAGTTGCAACGCCAGCGCACAATGTGGTTCCATCCCGGGCCACACCACCAGCCGGTTCTAATCCTCAAGCGTTTTTCAGA